CTGTAAAACACGTATTGGCAAGTCCAGTTTGTCTTGTCTTTATGATTGGAACTGTACTGGTGCAAATGCTTGGTCGGCGAGAGTTGCGGTGCGAGAAGTTGTCCTCCTGCGCATTTCGCCAAAACTCCAGCATCTGAAACCTGCAAATTGGTCCCAGCTCATCTTCCATCTGCATGGCACTTTGTGTAATGGCTCTGGTCTGTTCAGCCATCCACGAGACCTGTCGGCCCCACCTTGAGGGCTGCAGCTCCACCACCACCTTGCTCTCGTTGGAAGTCTCACGTTCGCGCTCAGGCAAAGATGATAGGGAATCTTGCTTGCTAAGCCTGGCTGCAACTGCTAACTCCAGTTTCGGGTTCGGACCCATAGGAACTGGAATGGACAAGCTTTTGGCAGGTGGACTCTGTGACGAATCCATCAGCTCTGGGATGGGATCAGGCTCCATCTCATCATAGCCGTCTCTGCGCAACTCCGCTTCATCACTAAATGTGACCACCGGTCCACATTCACTGCGCGGTGATGATACCTTAATAAGTGAAAGCGTTGACTCTTAGCAAACATGAGCCTGGCCCTCTCCCGAAATGTATGTCATGGAGATCAATGATCTTTGCAAAACTGTTTCTCATTTGCATCGACACGCATGCAACATGTGAGCTAATCCGCCGACTCCGCTGAGGCCGTCCGGCACCCTGTACAGATCCCTTCTCTTTTTGCCACCGCCCATTCCACTTGTCTGCTCGATGTTATGATTTCTTGTTTCTTGACGTCTGCTTCCTCCAGCTCTGTGACCCCTGCCTTCTCCAGCCCTCTTCCCCAATGCCCCCTCAACGCTTCCTTTCCGGCCACTTTTCAGCCCGGCTCCCTCCCCTGGCTCTCCCCCCAACATTTCTCCCGTGGAGACTTAACCCGTGCGCACCAAACCTCTCACAGAGTACAGTTAGGCAGGCGGACGGGTGTCTCGTTCTGCTACGCACAAGAGTCGAGTACTAACTCCCTATATGCTTTGAGTCAATTGAGAAACGGCACACAACAAGTAGGTTGTGGTACAGTAACATGGCAGCATCCAAGCAGGACTGCTCTCAATTCAATCAGGCACGAATATACCTAAGGTTACATAGTCGTCCCGTCTGTCGGCTGCTGTTGCCTCTCAGGTGAAATGGTGTAACTCTACAGAAAGAAAGTCCTAAGGCTGGCAAGAGACTATGCCTTACCTTCTTTTTGAAGAAGTCTGAGGCACGTGTAACCTTGCATGGAGCTAAGCAATCCCACACCTCCGTTTGGAAAGCACGGTGGGCTCAAAGCTCGCTTGCAGGTTTCACTTACTTTTGCCTTTAACCCGTGTTTTGGATTTTCCTTTACCTAGGCCCTTCCTACTACCCTTAGGAAATGCCTTCTGCCGATTCACATCTTGACGTTCCTTACGAACTACTTTCTTAGTGAATACTTGTAAGCGGAGTCAACTCGTTTCGTTCATGTGTTGTGGTCAGATTCTGGCGGGGCGCGAAGTGAAGGATGGTATGGCTGTCTTCGTCCTTGGGTGCTGAGGGAAGCGCTTCTATCCCTGCGGTCATTAGGAACTCAGAGACCTTGATCAAACATCATATCGGCTGTGGGATCATTTGGCCATTCTTCCAGAGTTTGGCTGTGACCCCACCCGATGATGCAGGCAACCATACAGTCCCCATTAAGATCCTTGGGCGGTACTTAGGATCAACATCCTTCCGTGGCTTACCATAATGCTTTTCGAAATACCTGAGCGTCTCAAGAATATTACCAGAGGTAAACAGTGACACAAACACATCTCGGACTTAAACACGTGCTGGAAAACTGAAGCTTCGTTGGAAGAAGACTTCTGTGTTTCTCCTCCAAAGCAGTATGTTGACATATTGCCATCGCCACCAACAATTTCTTCCAGTCTCTCCAACTGGGTTTGAAATCTTGACATCCTTTTCAAAAATCAGACGGGCCTCGTCGTATATTCATAAACTGCAGGAATCAATGCAGATAAACTTTGACACTATCACTACCCTTCACGAAGAAGGGCCTCAGCGTTCGCTTGACGTAAACGACGCCATACTCCTTGCTTTTCAACTGATCACGATCGAGGATTTTCTTGTCTATTGTTGTGGCCTCGCCTTCCGGCCTGTTTCTGATTGCTGATCCTTTTTTCTCCTCGTCCAATTCAATGATATCGCACCAGTCGTCAGTTGCATTTTCGAGAGCAAACCATGATGTCTTAAAACGAAGGTGGTATTTTTGTCATCACCTGGGAAAATTGCGACGTTCATATTATATCGAATGTTGACATTGCTTGCGTGGCATGCGTCTTTCAGTCGAGATCCTCATCACGCATGTCAGTGTAAAATTCTGCCATGCCTTCTGAAAGGCTACTGAGGGAGCTCTCTCCTTTTGAGCTCCCTGGCGCCGGCAGGGTAGTCCACCCTAGGTTGGTACCTCTGTTTAGACAAAATCTTGCCCTGGAGAAAGCTCCGGCTACCACGTTAAGATTTAACTCGAGCGTACCAAGCTCTCAGTGAGTACAGCTAGGCAGGCGGGCGGGTGTCTCTCTCTTTTTTTTACATACGCGATTCGCGTACTAAGTCCCTAGGCTGTGGTGACATGTTTGTACATGAACATGACAGCATCAAGATAGCACTGTTCTGAATTCACCCTCCCTCGACTTCCCAACCAATTTTTGAAAAATTGGCTGTCTGTGTTTTTCCATCGCCGTCCTCAAATCCTCTTTCCCGGCCAAAATCCCCCGTTTCCGGCCCTGATCGGCAGCGGCGCCAGCCCTTAAATCGGTCAAAGGGGCCCTGCGGGACTCCACCCAAACTCACATGCTTTCCGAAGCATTTAAGGATTTTAGGATCTTGGGGGTCGCAAAAGACCCTGCCAAAACAATCAGAGAGCACAGAGGTTTTTGAAAACTAGCCTGAGCCATCCAAGCCGGGTTCACGAATTTTGGAGGTTTAAGACGGTGCTGGAAAGCCTCAGATTGGAGAAGCGGAGCCCCAGAGATGGTTATTGGGGCTCGCTTCTCCACTAAGAAGTGCAAGGGTGGGGCGCGCCACCATCTTTGCACGCAGCGCACCAGCATTGCCTGCATTGCCCGCCCCTGGGCGCAGCCCCGCCGAGGTTCAGGGCGGAGCTCATGTTTAGAGTTTTAGCTCCGCAGGGACTGGCACCACTGTTGCCAACTGCTCCCCAGCCAACAGCATTGTCTCTCAGGCCCTCCACTCCACAGCCAAGTCGATGCGGTTTTGAAGCAAATCCCCGTCTTGGTAGGGGCGAGCAAAATGCGGATTCAATGAGAGGCCACTGGGCACAGGAGAGGCCAAAAATGATGAAGCGGACCCTTCGTGATGCTGATGATGCTGGTGAAGGGAGCTGGCATCATCAGCTTCCCAAGTCCCGTTTCTCCTTTTGCCAAAGTTCTGAGCGGTTTTTGCTGGGCCAGGCATGGTGGGGTTGATGAGGGACCCACACGAGGAAATCCCTTAGGTCCAAAAAGTGTCCTAATTTACCGTCATTCACCGCTACAGTACCGTTCGGACCACTCCTACTTCTACTACTTGTTTGGACACATTTTAGAGGCTTCCCCCACATTTGCGGAGGATTGGGACCAATTTCTTCGGCATCATCAGCACAATTGGGCTTTCATGTCTCACTTTTGGGAACCTCATATATGTAGTGTCAAGAAGATACTTGAGAGCCCAAACAGGCCCCATGATGAGCTGCTGGGACCTTAACATGCGTCATGAACCCCAACGAAGCGCTGAAAAGACGCCCTGCGGGCAGTGTTTGAGGCTGTACAAGGCCAGCATTGACTGCACTTGCACTGCATGACAAGCGTGCAAAAAGGCTTTAAGTGCATTGCCCATTCCAACTCTGTGCATTTTGCATGCTTTCCAGCATTTGCAGCTACGACTATCCCGTGGTTTTACGTCTCAAATACGTTCAAAAGTTGTTTCTGCGTTGCAAAAAATGCATCGGGCAAAAACACTGAAACATGGTCAGCCTGCGCAGAAAACCATGTTCAAGACCCTTTTGGTGTTTTTTCTTGAATGTTTAACCTCTTGGCCCCAATTAAGCCAAAATGGAGTCAAAACAAGAAGTAAGAAAGCGAGAGCTACAGAGGCACCCCCCCCATAGAGTTCCGGGGCCCCCCAGGGAGCACGTCTGATGCGGCTTCCGACGACGCCCGTTTGCCGGATACGTACCATCATGTGAAGACGGGAGAGGACAACATCCTCAGCCTCCCAAAGATGTGACCATCCAAGGTGGAGCCGGCATAGGCAGTATAATTACGCAGGTCACTGTGCGTGCTGCACTCCCACATCACGTGGCGTGAGTGGGGTGTGGGCCTGGCAGCACAGGCCAGCCTGGCCATCCCCTCTTCCAAAACCCAGTGCCCCAAATCGCGGGAGGCACCGTTTGCCTCGCTCTGCCAGCAAAATTCCTGCTGCGTTGCTTTGCACGCTTTCCTGGCTGTGAGCTTTAGGGCTCTTGCCCTCAGCTAAGGACTCTGGCGGGTCCTCTTCGTGCGACGTCCTCCCGTGTCAGGAGGCGATCGTCAACTTCCCCCAGGCCCGAAGCAACAGTTGCAGCAGCAGGGTTTTGCAAAGGATCCCGAGAGCAAACATCTCGATGGAAACTAAACCTCTCACCCCGGTAATTAAAGCTCATTTGCCAAGGACCAGGGCTGCCGTGTCACTTGCCGATTTATGAATGGATGCTTTTCAGTTAAAACTCTCTCTGCCAAGGCACATCTTTTTGCACGTCCACTAGATCCCGCAAGGCACGTTCCACCTTCCGTAGGGCTTTTTGCAGAGCGGCTTCGGAGACTGTCATGGCACTCCACGCTCATACATCGTCTTGCTGCAGCTATGGCTGTAGCTTGAGGTGAACGGCGGCAGTTCATCAAAGTTCGTGTCAGCTATAGTCACCTCTGTCTTCCCACCTGCGTAAGACAAAGCGTAAAAAGGCAAATGAGAAGCCTGGCCAACTTCGCCTGCTTTGGGCCGGAACTTGTCAGCCATCATAAAGCCGACCTGAGCAATAACATTCTTCGCACATTCACATTCGCCACCTTCACCACCTTCACCACATCCACCACCTTCACCACATCCACCACCTTCACCACATCATCCACCACATCATCCACCACATCATCCACCACATCATCCACCACATCATCCACCACATCATCCACCACCACCAC